CTCGCGAACCAGAAAAGCTAGAGAGCTGAAATTTTATGGAAATGTTCCCCGTCCAAGTAGGTGCTACTGAGCTCAAACCCAACCCCCGGTAAGCCAAAATTTTTTCCGGGCAAATTCATAACTCGGCGATCTGAGATGCTAGAAGACTAACATTAAGAGGATGTTTCTCGTCCGCATTAGTCTTAACGAGACCAAACCCAGCCCTCGGTCATGCGTGGTACCTACGCACGGGTTCACCAAAGTTTTTCTCGGGTAAGCTCATAGCTCGAGAACCTGTAAAGCTAAAAGGCTGTGGTTTTAAGATGTTCCCTGTCCAAGTAAAACTCAACGAGCTCAAACTCAGACATCGGGCATGCGTCGTACCCGCGTGAGGGCCCGTGAACGTTTTTTCCAGTAAGTTGCTAACTCAGGAGCCAAGAAAACTAGAAAGCTGAAATTTTAAGGGGATGTTTCCTGCCAGTTCTGGTATCCAGTTTTAATTTGTTTAGCTGGAAGCATTTGCCGAAAGAACCGATGCCGGTAGTGACAAAAATTGCGGGAAATTCTGCAAAAATCCCATCTTCGCACGGGCAGGCCGTGCGTTGGCCAATTATTTAAGGCTGCATCCATAACTGGAAACTAAGGAGCACCTTCTCAAGCAGAGGAGGAGCAAGGGGTGCACATTTGAGCAGACGCAGCGGGATAAGAGTGTTTCTCTCAGATGCAATAGGAAGTTTACAAGAAAGGATACTCTCTTATAATATGCACTTTTTCCTACCAAAAAAATCCGAAAGACCTCAGGTGCAGCTTTTCTTTCAAAAGCTTCATCAACTGCTACCTAATTTCAGCTCCCAGTTCCATTTTACAGTCATCCTTGCAAGGTAGTCATTAACGATTCAACAGCGGTTTCGTAAACTGGCTGTGCTCTCCCGAGCAGTAGTACAGCTGTAAGCAGGGAGAACGCCAGGATTTTGCCCTCCGCAAAAAATTTCCCTACAAGTTACTACTAAAGCAAAGTATTTGTGGCCTCCGTTGCTACCGTTTGCAAAGGAGCGCTTCTCAAGCTCAACATAACTGGAGCGTAAGACCGACCTCGCTCCCCTCGTCGCTGCTTGCAACAATTACTGCGCTCCAGCATTAGTGCCGTCATCCGCGCATTTCGTCACATTCAGATTGGAGAGCGGTCACGTCAACTCGACGCTGCGACATGCGTGGGCTCGGGAAATGCAGTGCGCCGGTTGAGCAGCTGCACTGCAGTCAGAAGCTGCGCGCTGCATGAATGAGCAGACCTTGGCACATCGTTAGCACGTTTACGAGCGCGCATGCAGTGCGCCTCTGCCCCTCCGGACGGTGCTGGCCCGGGGCTGATCAACCGAGGCGCGTGCTCCCCTCGGCCTCCAAACAATCGATCCGGCAACCAGACATTCGCACAGCAAATTGTGCCTTTTTTTACTGTAGTGAAATAAAACCTGAATTTCGCGGAGGGGCAGGGAAGTGGCACGGAACCGCCCACTGCTGTGCTTCCGAACAGTGCAGCTGGAACCACTCATATTCCCCTGGAATAATTTGTGCGGCGCCTGTGTGATCACTCTCCGCCACTAGCAGCGGCATTCACTTGGTATTCTCTCGTTTCATCCAGTCACATTTTCCCGCAAAATTCGTCTACTTATGCTTCATCCAACAGGTCTTTCAAGAACGGCCTCTCACATTTATCGCAAGAAGAGGGGCATGAGCAGACAACTATTGGAACTCGGTTTGGCCAGGTTGGAGATGAACTGCGATGGTTCTGTCCCCTCCCTTGCCGGATGGTAAGAATAAAGGCAGATGGGAACCAGAGATACTCGCTTAAGCCGTACAAGGAAGAGGTCACAACAAAGAGGAGAAGGGAAGTGGAGGAAAGCGTAGAGATTGTATAAGGTGTGGAAAGGGAGAGGGAGATCTATAGCTTGTATGATACTTCGTGGGAAATTAGATCCTGAGTGAAAGCTAGTAAGCTTATTCTTGCGCTCCAAAATGTCACCACGAGAAAAAATTCCGCACTTGTTTATAACCTCGGTTTCCACAACTCACGCCCGGACTTACAAGCGAATGCCGGGCCGG